GGTTAATTGTTCTAACTGTCAGGAAGTTTCTCCTTAGTTCTAGATTGCTTCTCTCCTGGATGAGTTTCCACCCGTTGAGGTCCACAAGTCATCAAAAGGCCAAGTTGGAAGACCCCTGATATAGACTTTAAGAGGAGTGGACTTCAACTCCCAGAATTCCTCATCCAGCGTGCCTGGCTGAGGAATTCTGGGAGTTGAAGTCCACAAGTCATACAAGGGCCAAGTTTGAAGACCCCGGATATAGACTTTAAGAGGAGTGGACTTCAACTCCCAGAATTCCTCAGTGTGCCTGGCTGAGGAATTCTGGGAGTTGAAGTCCACAAGTCATCAAAGTTGGAAGACCCCTGATGTAATAGGACCAGGAACAAGGGCCTTCTCGTTGGTGGCCCCCTCTTTATGGAGCTTCATCCCCCTTCAGGTGCAATTGGCCCCCACCAGGACCCTGAAGATCTGGTTTCCTCAGCGGCCCTGGGGACCACGAATGGAGATGGAGCCCAACAAGTGCTCGATGTGGTTGTCGTACTGAGGATGGGGCTGTTTGGTGGTTGTTATGTTGTGGGTTTTTAATGTTGTAAGCCAGGGGTCTCCAATCTTGGCAACCTTAAGGCTTGTGGACTTCAACTCCCAGAATTCCCAGTTGCCAAAGTTGTAAGTCAGTGTTGAATTGGGTGGCCAGGTAGATTTGTTTAATTAATAAATAAATAAATCTTCCCCCCTCCCCGATTCTAGAACAGGCTGGGAGAAAAACCAAAGAGCCAGGATTTGCCAATGAAGACTCAAGGCAGCTTGTCATTCCAAGGGGCTAGTCCCTGCTGCCTCCTTGGGTCCCATTGGCCTTCAGACCCCATTGCCACCCATTCCGACTCTTGCTCCGTCTTCTCCCCTCTCCCACTTAGCAGAGTTGGGGGGGCCCTTCTGCTCCCCGGGGGGCTTTCCGGCCTCAGGTGAGAGCTCGGCTCTCGGAGGGAGAGGGAAGGGGGACACCTGACGCCCCGAAGCTCACTTGGGCCTCGTGCTCCATCTTGGTCTCCTCCAGCTGCCGGGTCATCTGGGCCACGTCCTCCAAGGCCACGAGAAGCTGGGCCTCTGCTCCCACGTTCTGCATCAGGACCAGACTCTGACGGTGGGCCTCCTTCTGCTTCAGCAGCATCTGTCCAGGGAGGAAAGCCAGGGGAGGGGTCCCGGGTGAGCTGGGGGGGGTTTCTTGCAGACGTTTCATGACCCAACTAGGGAACATTGTCAGTGCTGGAAGGGAGGGCGGTTTGTGAAGGAGGAGGAGGAGGAGGAGGAGGAAGAAGACTGTGGGGTCCCAGGTGCTCTCTGAGCTGGGGGGGTTTCTTGCAGACGTTTCATGACCCAACTAGGGAGCAGCGTCAGTGCTAGAAGGGAGTGGGGTTTGTGGAGAGGAGGAGGAGGAGGAGGAGGAGGAGGACTGTGGGGTCCTTGGTGCTCTCTGAGCTGGGGGGGTTTCTTGCAGACGTTTCATGACCCAACTAGGTAACAGCATCAGTGCTAGAAGGGGAGGAGGAGGAGTATTGGGTCCCTGGTGCCCTCTGAACTTGGTGGTTTTCTTGCAGACGTTTCATTACCCAACTAGGGAATATCATCAGTACTAGAAGGGAGTGGGCTTTGTGGAGAGATGGAGGAGGAGGAGGAGGAGGAGGAGGATGAGGAGGATTGTGGGGTCCTTGGTGCTCTCTGAGCTGGGGGGTTTTCTTGCAGACGTTTCATGACCCAACTAGGGAACATCGACAGTGCTGGAAGGGAGGGCGGTTTGTGAAGAGGAGGAGGAGGACTGTGGGGTCCCAGGTCCTCTCTGAGCTTGGTTGTTTCATTGCAGACATTTCATGACCCAACTAGGGAACGTCATCAGTGCTTGAAGGGAGTGGGGCCTGCTCTCAATTTACTGCATATTCAAGTAACTTGCCCTGTCGGTTTTGGTGAAAGTGATGTTGGAGGTTCTTTGGTTGGGCTGACCAGTTTGTTCCACTGCTTAATTAATGATTATTATTAATTAATTATCACTGTCAGGAAATTCCTCCTTTAGTTCCAGGTTGCTTCTCTCCTTGATGAGTTTCCCTCCGGTGCTTCTCGCCTTGCCTTCAGGCTCTTTGGAGAATAGCTTGACCCCCCCCTCCTCTTTTTTATGGCAGCCCCTCAGATATTGGAAGACTGCTATCGTGTACTCCCCTACTCACCAATCTCGGCTGTTTGTGCCCTTGAGAGTTTTCAGACACCCACAAATTCCTCTCCCGGAGTCTAGCCCAGGGGTAGGCAACCGTGGCTCTTTTGTGACTCGTGGACTTCAACTCCCAGAATTCCTGAGCCAACATGGGGGAACGATGGCCCCTTCATGACTTGCGGACTTCAACTCCCAGAATTCCTCATCCAGCATGGGGAATTATGGCCCCTTCATGACTCGTGGACTTCAACTCCCAGAATTCCTGAGCCAGCCATGCTGAGGGGAAAGGGAGAGGTTTCCAAGCTGAGCCATGCTGCCTCAGGAATTCTGGGAGTTGAAGTCTACGAGTCATGAAGGGACCATAGTTCCCCCATGCTGGCTCAGGAATTCTGGGAGTTGAAGTCCACGAGTCATAAAGCGGCCTAGGCCAGGGGTAGGCAACCTGTGCTCTTTTATGACTGGTGGACTTCAACTCCCAGAATTCCTGAGCCAGCCTGGCTCAGCTTGGAAACCTCCCTTTCCCCTCAGCGTGGCTGCCTCAGGAATTCTGGGAGTTGAAGTCCATGAGTCATAAAAGAGCCAAGGCTGCCTACCTATGGTCTAAACAGAGACGTGCCAGAGCCAGAACTGGTGCCCCACCTGACGGGCAAAGATTTCTGCTTGCTGCCTCAGTTTCTCCTCCATGTCCAACTGCAGCGACATCCTGCCATACTCTTCGGTGACCAAACGGGATGCTGGAGGGGTTACAGAAGAAACAGGCATTGGTTCTGGGTCTACCCGGGTCAGATCCAACCCAAAGGAACTCTTTGGATTTTGACAAGAGAACTTCTTTAAAAAGATAGGCGCTTCGTGAATTTTTTCCGTGTAGTTTTCATCCATCGCTTCCCATAGAAAGGAATTCTTTCAGAATAAGCTTTTATCAATAAGCTTCACTCCCCAACAGTGATGGAGGAGACCTAATGCCGACTCCTGTTTTTACTGTTAGCTATTACAGTATTATAATCACCAGGAGACGGTGAGTTCTAGTCCTGCCTTCGACAGAGATATGAAAGCCAGCTGGATGACTTTGGGCACCAGGAGACGGTGAGTTCTAGTTCCATTTTAGGAATGAAAGCCAGCTGGGTGATTTTGGGCCAATCACCAGGAGACGGTGAGTTCTAGTCCTGCCTTAGACCCCGAAAGCCGGGTGAAGAACAGAATTGCTTTGCAGGATTAGACCCAGATCCACCTACGCCGTACCCTCCTGTGTCTCCCATGCCTGGGAAATGATGGCTTGGTGGCTAGAGGGGTCCATCCTGTTACCACCTTACTGGTAAGCCCCCTTTCCCAGCCCCCCATGCTTTAATTCCCAGCTCTAAGATAAGTGGCCAAGGTTTGCAAAAGTGAGACTCACCTGTCTTTATAGCAAAGGAGGCTGAACAGTTCTGTGGAAAACCAGGAAGTTAAATGAAGGGAAGAGGAAGAGAAAAGTAAGGAAAGGAAAAGGGAAAGGGAAAGGAAAGGAAAGGAAAGGAAAGGAAGGAAAAGAAAGGAAAGGAAAGGAAAGGAAAGGAAAGGAAAGGAAGATAAGAGAAGGAAGGTGGGAGGGAAGGGAAAGGAAAGGAAAGGAAAGGAAAGGAAAGGAAAGGAAGAAAAGTGAGTAGGGAAAGGAAAGGAAAGGATGGGAAAGGGAAGGGAAGGGGAGGAA